GGCCTCAGTATAGCACATAGTAAGCAAACACTCTACCATTGAGCTAAACCCCCAGGCCTTGAAATATAATGTCTTAAACAAAAAAATGTGAATCTGAATTCTTGCTTATAGTTCTTTGACTTTTATTCCACTTGGGATTTTTATGTATAAAAGTGAAATCTATGGCCAGTCATGGTGGTATGTGCCTATAATCCCAGCTACTTGGGAGGCTCAAAATTCTGGGTTAGCCTGGTCAATTTAGTGGTAACCTGTCTCAAAATTTAGAAAAGGCTGAGAATGTAGATCAGTGGCAGAATGACCCTGGATTCAGTCCTCAGTAGTAGTGTAAAAAGAAAAAGTGAAATATATGATGAGATTATAGGGATAATTTACTATAGATGGTTGTCAACTTATAGTGGTTTTAAGATTTTTCCACTTTATGATCATGTAAAAGTAATACACATTTAGTAGAAACTGAACTCAAATTTTGAATAGTGACCTTTTCCTGTGTAAGGGTATGTGGTATGATCCTCTCAGCTACAGCTTTAGTCAGCCATTCACAAGTGTGAACATTCAACTGATACTATAGAGTGTGTACATTCTTAAGTTAGGATGTTTGGTAAGTTAGGCATCTTGAATGCATTTTGGACTTGACATTTTAAATTTAGGATGGGGTTATTGGAAGAGGGGCTAATCCTATCATAATAGAGGAGTATCTGTACTTCCCTTGATTACATACAACTGTATGTCTGTATTGATACCAGTGTTTTTCTTTATGAAAATGATTGGTTGGTGAGGCTCTTAGTTTTTAGTAGTTGATCCATATTAAAGATCTATAGAGTTGCAGCAAAGTCCTGAGGTGAAAAAGGTGGCTTTTGAAATAAGATTAGAGTAAAATGATGTTTGAGGATAAGAGGACCAGTCATGTTTAACCCAGCATGGCTATCCAGGAAGATCCTCAGTCCCAGGCAGTCCCAGGATGGGTTGGTCAATCTCTCTGAAAAGAGACACCCAGAAAACCAGAGGGTTCTATCCAGCTCATCAAATTTTATTAGCGAGCCATAGGACTAATATTTCAAAGACTTCATTGTCACCAGGGTGCAAAATCTCCAGGTAGTCAGAATCCAAGCCACAAGTGGACTTCTGGATTAAGATCCACATCTTGAATTTAATGTTTTGTGGTTAGTAGGGGTTTTAGGTTTGATTCATTACATCATTTTGTTAGTTTGCTGCACTGTGTAAGTCTTTGATAAGTTCAAGAAGCAGTCTAATTCATTTTTTTTATATTAGCAGTTTAAAAAGTTGTTATGGTGATAAGTAAATTCCCAGGTTTTTTTTTTTAAACCCTGAAGTTATCCATACTTGGAATTTCTTTAAATGACTATTAGTTTTTTTATGTGATGCCAAGGATTGAACCCAGTGACTAACTTGTGCTAGACAAGTGCTTTACCACTGAGCTACAACTCCAGCCCCAGTGCCCGAGTCTTGTGTGTTAAAAGTTAAAAAGTTGAGTTTATACTTAATGAGAATCTTTCCTGTTTTGAGTTTTAAAATCCATATGATGTCTAAACTTAAATTATTTTAAGTAAATTTTAGGTTCTATAACTTAATCTGTTCCCTTTCTTGACTTTTCATGCTGCCTTTTCTATAGATTTGCTGAGTACCTGTCCGTAAGTAGACTACATAGTTGCTTACTGGCTTCCCGCTGCCTTATTAGACAGCAAACCGTGGAAAGCAAGGGTCCTCTCTCATATCTTCACCACTATATCTTGGAGCTAAGAGTAGGTACACTGAAACTTCTAATAATTATTTGTTGAATTGGATGAAGGAATGAATGAGTAGGTTTTATAATGCGGCATGATTTCCAGATTATTACTGTCTTTTTTTTTTTTTTTTTTTAACTAGGGATTGAACCTGGGAATACATACCACTGAGACATCCCCACCCTTTTATTTAGGGATAGGATCTTGCTAAGTTGCTTAGGGCCTCACTAAATTGCTGAGATTACAGGCATGTACCACCACTTCTGGCAAAACATTTCTGTTTTCAAGGAAGCATTTAGACTCGTTTTGTTTCAAAATTGTGCAGAGGGGATAGAAATATGGCTTTTGAAAAATTTCGTATCTGAAGCCTCAGAGGTTCTGGTACAGCAACTGTGGTTTAGAGCCCAGGAATCAGAAATACTAATGGATAGACTGGGTGTTTGCTGAGGTACCTAGTTTGAGGACTGTGCTTTGGAAAAAACTGCTTTAAAGGTAAATAGTGAAGATAATTCATTAGTTAAGAAATGACAAAACTAGAAATGTATTGAAAGTAATCTCTTTCTTGCCTGCTGTGGAATTATTCAAGAAGGCATCCAGAATATCTGTCAGCAGCTCCTGGTACATACAGAGTATGTGGAATTCTAAAAGCCTTTTTAGGCCTGGGCTGGAGAGCCAATCCATTTTAAGCAGTGGTAAGTTCATTTTATATTTAAATGAACTCCATTATGATGCAGGATTCAGTAACTTCTATCCTTTAAGTTTAAGATTTTGTTTAAGGTGAACACATTATCTTTATTTATTTATCTTTATGTGGTGCTAAGGATTGAACCCAGTGCTTCACGTGTGCGAGGCAAGTGTTGTACCGCTGAGCTTTAACCCCGGCCCCATTAAGATTTAGTCTTAATGTTACTTAAAAGATTCAAAGGGGGATTCTAGAAATTTGCTTCAGCCTCCATTTAATCTCATAATCATAAATGAATTTTTGCCTAATAAAATGGGATTGTAGGAATAGTTAACACTCCCATACTTCCACATACATTACATTAGTCCTCACAGCAGCTTTATGAGGGAGTATATTATCAAGCCAAAAAGATGAAGAAACTGAGGCCCAGAGAATTTGAGTGACTTGGACAAAGTAAGTGGTGATAAAGCAGGAATTTAAATCCAGGTTGATCTTAACCACTGAATACTCATGGGTGATAGGAATTCTTATACTACTTTGTGGCAGTGGGGGAATAGGGCATTTGTGAGCCATTGGTAAATGTATTTACTTTAAATTCTCAGTATCTGGCTAATTTTCTTGGTCATTTTGTTCTTGAGATTGTAGTCGTGAAAATAATTTCTTGTTATTGTATTTCTAACTAAAGTAATTTTTAAAGTTTTTCATAATTTAAGTTGGAAGATTTTAATCGTAAAAGTTGAATTGTTTGAATCCATAATTTTCAGTTTATCATACATATTGATATCTAAAATAATTCTGTTATACCTGATTTTTCAGTCTTTGTGTCTAGTGGAATGTAATACCATGAATTGATGTTTACCATGATTTTTTTTAAATACAAGTAAATTATTAAAATTTAATTTTGTTCCTTTTACTTGACAATTTGTGTTACATTCCCCCCTGCAAAACTTTATCCTAATATAAATAAATGTTTATAGACTTGATGATTCTTTTATTCTGTGCAACATTTGTATATAAATTGTTAAATTTTAATTTGCTGTCACCAAAGGCAACTAAATATTCATGTTTTTTTCTGGATTGAGTTTAAATTGTTACTTTTACCTAAACAGCAAGTTCTACATGTTTATACTTTGAGTAAAAAGTTTTTGGAGGTATGCTGCTTAAATCTTAAATAGTTGGGGCAGGGGTTGGGGGGGAGGTTAATGGCCCTGATTCAAAGAGAGTTCAAATTGTCTTCTTGTTATGGCTTCCCAAAGGTTTTTTTTTTTAAAGTTTTTAAAGGGCGTTAAATACAGTGGACCAAACTATACAGGATAGGTAAAAGATGCCTCTTCTGTGAAGTGTAAGAAGGGAAGATGGGAAAGGAGAACTGGCTTGATACACTGATTATAGGTGCATTCTACAGCATGCTCACCTTATGAACTACATGGAATTTGATTTTAAAAACAATTTGTCATCTATCCATGTCTACATCCTTCTCAGAAAGTTTGGTTACCCTTGGAGTTACACATAACTCAGGTGGAAAATAGAAACACTATGTATTATGCTGAAAATGATGCCAGATGTTCATTCACTTAATATTATTACAGCAGATAAAACAAAACGCCTATCAGTAAGGGTATAAGGTGAGTGTATTTTCTTGGTGGAATACTATGCATCATTTGAGGTCTAAAATGACAGTTTCCTTGGGTGCCGTGGTGTACCCACTGGCTTGGGAGACTAAGGCAGGAGGATCACAGTTTCAGAGCCAGCCTCAGTAACTTAGTGAGGCCTTGTCTCAGAATATTTTTAAATAAATGGCTGGGGATGTGGCTCTGGTTAAATACCCCTGGGTTCAATCTCCTGGTACAAAATGACAGTCTCGCATTTTAGAACAAAGTAATATTGTGTGAACGTGTGTTTGAAAAAGCAGATTCATCTTGGTGGAGACTAGGGCCCAAGGAAGAGTATGTATTAAGATTATTTATTTAAAGGTGGGGTCTTAATGGGTTCTTAAGGTTGGTCATGCTCATGGGCTCAAGCTCAAATGATTTTCCTGCCTTAGCCTCCTGAGTAGCTGAAACAGGTGACTTCAACCTTTTTTTTTTTTTTGGTGTTTGTGTTGCTAGTGATGGTAAAAGCACCCCTAGCACTGAGCTGCGTCCTGAGCCCTTGAAAAGTGTCTGTGGGAAGAACACATACTAGTGAGCAGTTGACTCAAATTATCATCTAAAATAGGTATGATGTGTTTCTACCATCAAAGCCTGTCTTGATACCATGTATGTTAATACTCCTGAGATCCTGTACTGTTTTTTTAGCCAAGGCCATGATGAAGGGGTGGTGTTCAAATTCTAGGCCTACTTAAGAAGTATGATTGTGCCTGCAGTGGCACAATCCTCAGCAACTTGGTGAGACCCTGTCTCAAAAAGTGCTGGGGATGCAGCTCAGTAGTTAAAAAGTCTGGGTTCAATACCAAAAACCCAGGGGAATCTGCTGAGATTTCCTGGATGCTAAGGTTATCCAGAGTTCTTTAATCTGAGGAAAAACAATTTCCTTTTGAACTGTCATTGATGCAGACTCAAAACACTGTACTCTTCCTAATTTTTATTCAAGCAATAATATATTTAGAGCTGAAAAAGACCATTGTAACAATTTCTTGATATTTGAAATAATTAAATATCTATTAAATAAGAGATCACCCAGTAGTGAATGTTCATTTTTGATTGCAGAACTTGAATATCTCTTGAATCTCTCTTTGGTTATCACAGGATCAGAAAAATACTCGTCCCAGCTCAAACATTACCTTAGGATGATAAAAAAAAATTAACTCCACAGTAAACAAATGTATTGCTGCAAACTACAATGACTTCCAGGATCATGATTAATGAAAAACGCTCCTCGAGTAAATACTTGCCTTTCTACATGCCAAGCTGCAAATCTGAGGCCCAGTCAATTGATGTTGGGCTATACATAATAAATTCACAACTAGAACTTCTAAATGCTACCTTTAAAATGTGGGACCTTTCCAAAAATTACACTTAATGCAATTGCAAAATATCAGTCATTTGAAACTTGAGCCCCTTTTGTGAATAGAATTAGTAATTAAAAGTTATCCCCTTTCCTGCTATAACTGTATCTCAAATTGTCTTTATTATCCTAGGCCCTTCCATTGTAAAAAGGTAGAAAATGATTGTGCCACAGTTTCTATTCACCTCGATGGTGATGAGGATGACGATCATCCACTCCAAGCGCAGTGCCCTCTTCTCATTCAGATGATTCCGCATTAGATCTGTTAATTCCATGCAGTGCTGAAGTTTTTCATTCATGACCTGTATTAAAAAAAAATCTTGGTTATCATACTTAAACAATTTAAATTTATTTATTTTTAAGAAATAAAGCCAGGCGCAGTGGTATACCCATGTAATTCCAGCGTCTGAATGCTAAGGACAGCAAGTTAAAGACCAGCCTCAACAACTTAGGTCTTATCTCAAAAAGGGCTGGGGATGTAGCTCAGTAGTAAAATGGCCCCTGGATTCTATGCACAGTACTGCAAAACAAAAACCCTCCCACTTCTCATCTCTTCCCCAAAGTCAAGAAGCCATTCTTTCCAGTCAGTCTCCTAGAGGCATTTTGTAATGCAGATTTAAGAAATGTGTGCATGCCAGTCTTTGTAAAGCTCTTCCATCCCCCTTGGGGATTGAACCCAGGGTGCTCTACTAGTGAGCCACATCCCCTACCCCCCTTTTTTTGTATGTGGGGGGGGCTCTTGCTAAATTTCCCAGGCTGGCCTTGAATTTGCCGTTTTCCAGCCTCAGCTTCCCTAGTTGCTGGAATTACTGATGTGTGCCTGGCTATTTCTTAAGATTTTTGTAGGAGATATAAAAAATGAGGTTTCTGAGTCTTTGATTTTGGTAGCTGCCTTTTGTTGTTTTTAGTTTTGGTAGTGGAGATTAAAGAGCGCATTCTTCTGAGCTACATCCCCAGCAGCACCTCCCCACCCCCTTTTTTTCCTCCAAAGGCACAGACAAGTTTATTTAGGAAAGACACATTCAAGGGTAAAGGGGTGTGGGGGGGCATTTTCAATAGAGATGCCTTTGTGGTCAAAGAAAGCAATACACGAGGGAGAATGCAGACTGTCTCCAGAGGGAGAGCAACCCTTTGGTGTGGGGTGTTAATAGTTATTGAGGGACAGTGCTAGGAGCTGGACAAGAGGTGGAGACAGGGTGGAGCTGGAGAATTTCACTCCAGTTTTTCTTCTGCACTATCCTTCATTTTACAGGGCATGACTGTAAACTTTGTATCTTAATGGCTTGTGGGTGTTTCCTTTAAGATTATGTAGCCCTACCCCAAATCCCTAACTCCCCCCAATTTGATCCCTTAATCTTAAGGGTTGATGAGGGGTAAAGATCCATCACCTATGGCTACTTCAGGCTGGCAAGGGGTGATGACCTGGCTGGTCAAAGTCTCATAATGACTATTCTAAAGGAGATATACCTTGTCTCAATTGATCCCTGGCTCTTTTAAAAATTTTATTGAGATGGGGTCTTACTAAATTGCCAAGACTAACCTTGAATTTGCAATACTGCCTCAGACTCCTGATTCCCTGGGATTACAGGCATGCCCATCATCCTTAGGTGGTTAGCAGTTTTAAAAGACAAATTTAGCTGGGCCTGGTGGCACACTCTTGTAATCCCAGCAATTTGGGAGGCTGATACATAAGGATCATAAGTTTAAGGCCAGCCTAGCAATTTAGCAAGGCCTAAGCAATTGAGACCCTGTCTCAAAATTTAAAAAAAAAGGGCTGCAATGTGGTTAAGTGGTGAAGCTGCCCTGGATTCAGCCTCCAATACTAAGAAAAAACGACAAAACTTTTTTTTTTTTTTTTTTAAAGCATGGCCTTAAGATGTTAAAAACAATGGTTACCTTCTAATAAAACCCAATACCAAACATGTCCTGCCTACTCACCACTACCTGGTGCTACTTTTTACTCTGAGCAGCAAAGGTTCTGTAGTATGATGAATTATCTGCTGGTTTTGGGGATTCACAGAAAATACTGAATTTAAAACCTGTCTGACTACTGGCAAGTTATATACCTGCTTAATATCTCTGCTTTGTGCTTTTTTGTTTTTTTGGGGTTTTTTTTAGTTGTAGATGGACACCATGCCTTTATTTTTATGTGGTGCTGACGATCGAACCCAGGTAAGCGCTCACACGTGCCAGGTAAGCGCTCTACCAGTGAGCCACAACCCCAGCCCCCTGTGCTTTGTTTGAAAACTGGAAAGTCTAGGAACAAACTTTCCAAAATAGTTTTGAGCCAGGCATGGTAGTGCATACTTGTAATCCCAGCGACTCTGGAGGCTGAGGCCTTAAGCAACTGAGACCCTGTCTCTAAATAAAATACAAAAAAGGACTGGGGATGTGGCTCAGTGGTTAAGTATCCCTGGGTTCAATCCCTGGTGACAAAAGAAAAAGGGAGGGGGTGTCGTTCATGGGAGTATGCTGAAGTGCAAGTTTATCCAGTGAGGATTGAGACTAATCATGGTGTGAAAATTGACAAAAAACTCTTGGTGCATCCTGTTCATGGATTCTACAGTGGTGAACTACAACAGTAACATTCACCCACACTCTATAGACTTCATGGTCACCTGTGATTTCTAATCTGAATATTTGTAACAGTGTTTCCTTCCTTCCTTTTACTTGACCACCTCCTTCCCTTTCTTCCCTCCCTTTTTCTGTTGATTATTTCATCTTGGCCTACAAAATGTTCATCCTTAAAGTTTACTTCTGTCTTCAAATTACCTACTCACCCTTCTTAACTTCAACTTTGACTAAATAAACATCTTCTTCCTCCACTTCCTCATCACTCAACTTATTTAATTCTTTAGGATTTGTATATAACTCACCTGTACAAGTATCCTATTAAATATAAGTTGGTTCCAAAACCCAGTTAACCCAAGCATTTGACAACATGTTGAAATGTGCAATCAAGAGCTTCTGCTACTACATGCTTCCTATTTCATTTAGCTATAGAGGCACTTGTATCACGTAAGCAAATGAAGAAGAAAAGAATGGAAGGCTTCATGGGGGTGCTCAATGTGAAGTAGGCCTTCAACAGGCAGTTGCCAGGAAGAAATGAGTGGTGGCAGAAAGGGGACATTTATTTCAAACAGGAAACGGCACACAGGGAACATATCTAGACAGTGCATAACTTGGAAGAAGTGCTTGGAAGTCAGGTAAATATACTCTCAGAGGCACTCAACCCAAGTAGTACAGGTAGAATAATGCCCCCCATCCTATAGATATTCGCAGCTGTTGCTAGAACCCATGGACATTATAAGACTAAGATTGCTAATCAGCTGACCTTAAGACAGGTAAGGCTAGGTTATCTGGGTGAGCCCAATGTAATCACGGGGTCTTTTAAGTGTGGAAATAGAGGTAGAAGAATTCAGAATGATACAATGCAAGGAAGACTCAACTTGCCTCTGCTAGACTGAAGTAGAGGCTGAGTCACAGGATGTAGGCAGCCTCCAGAAAGAAAGAAAGGCCTACAAACTCCTTGATTTTAGTCCAATGAGATCTATGTCAGGCTTCTTACCTAAGAAACTGTAAAATGGTAAGCTTGTGGTAATTTGTTACAGCAGCAACAGAAAATATGCCACACTATAATGTCTAGGCTTTATTAAAAGAGAGTCCTTCCCCCACCCATCCTAAAATACTTGTTTTAAGATTCACTGTTCTACAGGAAAGAAGGCAGAATGGCAAGTGAGACCATATGTCTCTGCCTTCTGGACCGAGGGTGCAGAAGGTCTTAGACTAGTCCAGGGGAGGGAGGAGGCCAAGCAACAGGAGGGATACATGTTAACTATGGGGGGACCTCAAGGCTGGGATCGGTATGGCAATCCTATCTGTTGTTCACTAGTCCAGGGCTTATCACCTAGGCTTTCAATAAATATCTCCCAACGAATGAGTGATACTTAGTTAGGAATGGAGAGATGGTCTGACAGATGAGAAGTGGAGGGTGACGTAAAAAGAACACTCCCGGATGACTTTAATTTTCTGACTGACTGACTAGATGGTGAGGCTTGATGGTTCTGCCAGTAGCTAAAATAGAAAACAGGAATGGGTCAATCTTTTCTGAAGAATACAATGAGTTTCACTTTGAAATGTCAATACTGATCTATTCTACAAATTCAAGAACCTACTGTATGTGACAGCTTTGCCCAAACTGGGAAGCAAATAATCAGTCTCTGATCTCAAGAAGCTCACATTACAGTAGAAATGCACCTGTATTTAGAAGGAAAGCTATAAGATATGTAAATGTGGAAAGGGTCTGTGAGATTTGGGAGGCAACTGGGCAATACTTGGTAGACAAGGGATTAGGGTTATACCTGAAAATTAACAAGAAAAGGTGGAGTATAAGTCATGAAAAGGAGTGCTCATGGAGCAGGTAGCACGAGAACCATCTGTGACAGGGACACCAATTTGATAAAATGGCACATGGCACTGGCTGCAAACTGATTTCTGTACCCCTCCCCCACAGTGCTCTAACTGCTCTCTGAAGATTTTCTTGCAGTGATCCAATTACCAAATGAAATGACCTGACCTCTGCCCTCAAGTTTTTTGACTGCTTTTCAGCACATCTTACGCACCGTCTCCTGATTTCCCCAAGACTTATCTTGGGGGAAAAAACAAAAATAAAGACCAGCTTTCCCCTAGTCTTCTTGAAAGACCAAATGGCTTGTTGAAGGCCAGAACCAAATTCATTCTTCTTTTGATTTAGCTGTGGTGCCAACAGAATGTTGAGCTGTCCCCGAAAGGCCACTGCCTTAAAGGCTTGATCTCCAGGTGGAGTTATTGAGAAATGGTAGAACCATTAAGAGGTGGAGCTTAATAGAAGATCTTTAGKTCACCGGGAGTATGCTTCCTGTTGTAGTCAGCTTTTTCACCCACTGTGGCCAAAAGACCTGACAAGAACAATTGGAAGAGGAAAAATGTATTTGGTGCTCAGTTTCAGAAGTCTCAGTTCATAGACAGCCAGTTCCACTTTGGGCCAGAGGTGAGGCAGAACATCACTTAAGAAGGGCGTGGCAGAAGAAAGCAACTCAGGAGTAGAGAGAGCTCCACTCAAGAAGGACAAAATATATGCCACCCCCACCCCAACCCCCCCCCCCCGCATGCATGCACCCATCAACCCAGCTCCTCCAGCCACACTCAACCTGCCTACAGTTACCACCCAGTAAATCCCTATCAGTGGATTAATGCAGTCATTAGGCTGTCTCTCTCAACCCAGTCATTTCACCTCTGAAGCTTTCTTGCATGGTCTCACACA